TAAAGGAAGGGCCTGTAAAATATATCGACATATACCGGCGTCGTTTTCTCGTTGTCAGTATAGGCTTTATATCTTTGAACGTGTGTAAAACCAACATAAAAAAAATTGGGGGACCCTTAAGCTTCGCATTTAAGAGTTGAACGCAATAGCGAAATCCGGCCCCTAGTGCACTCTTCAACCGCTACGTGCATACTTATTCATATGTTTTGTTACATACAGACGCACGCACACAAACACGCATACAGTAGATTGGCACGCTATTACCGCCGAATGGGTTCGTTTTCGTCATGACACCTGTCGAACAAAATGCGTTAAAGGGGCCCTGAAACACTTTTTCAAGTAACAATGAAATGAATTCACTAAAAGAGCTTATTGCCTCACGAATTCAACGCCGCGAAAATTTCAGGAATCCGTCCAGTGCGATTGGAGTTAGAAAGGTTTGTCATATGCTGCAATTACATTATCTCTTCTCTCGCTCCAACGAAAGCGCTGAAGCTAACCAGGGGGTGGTGGCAGGGCCAAGAAACTACCACGCCTTGTGACCTTGAGCATTTTTTGTTTTTCTAATGCGCGGCTTTCTCTGTGTGATCGCGCGCTCGCGTGGACAAGTAGCGGCCCCCCGCGGCTATCTCGGTAACTTGATTTTTTAGTCACAGACGCACCGGTGATTTTTCGCTCACAACCAACGCGGCCGACGGTGGCGGCGGGTTTTCTGCGGCACGAGCTCTTTAACGCTAACGCGTTAAAACTGGTATGCCACGGGGTCAGCGACAAGAGCCTTGCAGCAAAATTATGAAGTCGATTATTTAGCTGTACATCGTTTGTTCGTCGGATGCTGCCATGCGCGCCATACTTAGTTCTCAATATTCAGAGTCTTTATATTATTATCTATCCCCACGTAATCTACTCTGTGCAGTTTACAAAGTAAAAGGAGTTGGACGGTGATTAGCAGCGCTGCATTCGCGGCCAGTGGCTCGAGTCGAGGCGTAGCACTTGTGCACTGAGGGCAAACATACGCAGGTAAACCACCCCGCTAAAGCACGAACAGCTCTTGTATACATTGTTTGCAGCGTGCGTTGTCACGTGTACATACTATATAATCGCCGCAGATAGAAAGTGTCTCATGACGAATGTTTCCCGGCGCTCTCATCCCTACTCTTCGCTGATTAGACACTGAACAGTAAGCTTTTCCTTGAGATTAGTAAAGAGGTATACAATACAAATTGATGGTCGGTCTTTCAAAACAAGTGTTTTGTTCCTCTAAGCGAGCTGGGACTTTAAAGAGTTAGCTGGTATACTTAATTCGTACAACATTACTATTTGTTGCTATCGCATTCATCACTTCTCCCTTATAATAAAGTGTTTTTTAGTTTATCTTAAGCAACGCCACGTCGTCAACATCCGTGCACGCTCCTTTTGAGAAAATATCAAAAATTTGTGTTAGTCTGACAGAGAGAAAATATGATACAGTATACATCTGCAAGGCTATAAAGGAAGCAACAAATGTTGTGATGCCGCAATTGAAATACTAGCGAAGTCGAAAACAAGGCACGCCATTTCTTCTTGTGGATATCACTGAAGAGTGCCGCTACCTTCGAACATGAGATATCACTGGACCTCACAACGCCATAAAACTATAGGCAGTGCAAATAAGATGGTGAAACAACTTTGCAGTTAACAAGTTTAACAAAAAATACTTACGTCTAGATAGACGTGCACACCCGGTGCTTTTCGCAGTGCCGATATCGCAGTCATAACAACGGGGTCAAAGATTTGCGGCTGATTGTATGAGGACATCATGAGTGCCTGCGCGAAGTTCCGCTTATAAGGCTCCCGAACGGTGGTCGCTGCGATTTCCGCGGGGAGACGACTGGAGCAGCGTATGCCTCGATTTCAAGACCCACGCAACGGCGCGATCGAATAACGGATGATGCGAACGAGGTTTTCTGAGCTGAGTGTTGGGGGAGGGTGTGAAACAACGCCGGCCTGGTGCTGAAAGGCGAGTGTGGCCCAAGCCGCTCGAGTTCCCCTGAATAAATAGAGGCGTGGAACATTCCGGACCTTCTCTTCCCTTTCCACAGGTGCACGTCACTTCCGCCCGCCTCGGCGCCGCGGTAGCGCATGCTAAAAGCGAGCAGTGCTTTGGATTCAAGTGCACGAGATAGCCAACTGGTGAGACTGAAAATCTGGTCGCACATCGGAAATGGTGGTCATGAGTTTGTTTCTCGAGCGTCGCGGCACTGCTGACAAACGCGGTTTCCTCTAGCAGGATTTGATAAGGATTATTGCTAAAATCGATAACCGGTTCGCCAATCACGCTACCCATATTTGTCGCCGCTGATTGTAGTCGTGGCAGCACTGCACACATTTATGATTCGCGGTGGAGGAGGATGTAAATGGGCTGAAGGGTACGCCATTACTGCCAGAAGTTGAATGCGATTTACGGTTTCTGGTTTCTCTGCGAGCCGGAATCGAAGGTTCCAGAAGGAATCTTTCCGTGCGAATGGCGTCTTGCTTTTGGGTAACCAAGCATTCTAGCTAACAACGAGAAATATTTAAAATCTAAAAAAATGTGAACAAGAAATCAATTTTTTTTAACTTTCAAAGCGTCACGGATAAAGCTTAGCCAGCAATTTTTGGAACAGCAATGACGAAACGGGATGTGGGATTATTGGCACTGTTAGCGCGTGCAGTTGAATATTACCACGTGGTCTCGGCGTGGAGGGAAATATCGGCGCTCCTTTTTTGTTCTACTGTAGCCTTTAGTTCTCATCTTAAGGCTGCACCTTGTTCATAAATTAAACTTTGCAGATATAGTTACCATTAAGTAGCTCCTAGAAATGCTGCCACATGTTCTTACAAAGCTCGCTTATATAGCGATCACTCTCCATGATAGCGGCGAACAACCAATTGATATATAATATGCGAATTACGTTTCAGTTAATTAATACTAATTCAACCTGTAAAAACTAGATGCATATGTTATGTAAAAAGAGGTTCCAAAGTAAATCTTCTGCAGCGGTACATTTGCCTTAAAAGTACTTATACACATCGTGTAGTCTCGAAGCATGCAGCACCGTCTGGCTCTTCTGCAATGGCGTAGTGGGTTGACGCACTGTAAGGGAAGCGGTCGTGCCGCAGGTTGGCAGTTCAATATTTCTCTTTTGTAATATTTACCATTTTTAAGGCAATGCGTCAAAGTTATTTGACGCAAAAGCTCTATTTAATTAACGCAATAGCGCTAAAGTTAATTGACGCAAAAGCTCAAGTTAATTGACGCAATAGCGCTATTTTATTACTGAAAACAACCGTTCAAACAACATGCCACCCTTTAATTCATGAGCTTTAACGTCGTAGAAGTCATGATTTTATTTGGGGGCGACAATTCTTTTGCAGAATTTTAATGTGTTTTAGGCTTAACACACATACGAAGTTTTTTCTAGAAGGTTCTGTTCCAGGAACGCCAAAGCAATGACGAATCTCGCACAAGTAGGGTATTTCGTACGGGTTGTCCTCTTACCGCACGAATAACGTAAATTGCATTCACCTGCCAAGAGAATATCTGCCAGGTGCGGGACGGGTTGCCGTTAATTTCCGGCTCTACTGCGTGCTTGCTGTTGAAGATGAATACGGCAAGCCACTCAAGCGACGGCAATAAAGATGGGAGCAGATTTCTCCAGAAGCAATGGCGCCTCTCTTAATATGAACGAACTTCTAACCATCCACGATCTGCACCTTCACCCGCTCGCAAAAAAAAAAAAAAAACAGGAGTGTAGGGTCAAGTAGTGCCACTATGGCTATGGTAGCACCATTTATGGCGCCACCATGTTGGTGGAGTCGCTAACTGTGCAGCATGACAGTTAGCGACTCCACCACTCTTTATCAAGAAAGAAAGAAAGAAAAAAAGTAAGTAAGAAAGAACAAATAATTGCAGACTTATGAGTGCTTTACTGAAAAACGTATCACATACTTGTATAGCCACAGCAAGAAATGCAAGTCATTGTCAACTAATAACAGTGCAACTAAAAGCAATGACATAGCAGCAGCCGAGTACCTTAGCTACTAGATAATCACGTGGTTTAAAGCTGGTCGCCGACTACACAAGGCGTAGAAAAAATAGGAAAGGTTTCATGCGCTAAGTACGCACTACAGACAGGATATCGCTATCCCATTCAACTCTTGAAGGGACTGTCTACCGTTCGCGAAATTATATCTGACTACGGCGTAAATGAGAAGATCGTTCACAACATCGGCGGCAATGAGCATGCTTTCGTCCCATAAATAAGTAAATTTATTTGATGTTGAAAGTCGGTAAAAATTACCGCAGCGTCACCCAACAGCGATCATGTGGTCAACCTTCTGGTAGGACAAGGAATCCTCGCAGGTATACTTATTTTGCTTAAAAACAAACATGTATAGCTCGATATTGCAGTTTATGCACTTGGGACACCTCTAGGTAGTACCAGAGACTAATTTTTGCTTTCTTCTTGTCTCGCGCATTCAATAGGCGCCCGGTGGTGCTGCGCTGCTGGTGGTTTGTTGGCATTGCCTGCCTGCAAACGGCGAAGAAATGGAGCACGGCGTCCGCCGCAGCCCATAAGAACAACAAAAAGGTGTGTGCGTGCCTCTAATGACCACTAAGGTATTTGTTTTATCAATAAACAAAACTTGATGAGGCCTGTAAAATTCGCACGCGGTTTCAGTTTTCGACTTTCAGCGGCAGTACAACTGTCCATAGCCTCCACTGACCAGTGTTGTGGACATTATTCCTACCGATGGAAGCAGACCGAACGCAGATGGAAAAGTTATGTTTTCAGAACTTTTCACGCACTTTCCGGGGAAACCGCTACAAGATTAGACGCTTCATATGGTACGCTTTTTATTGCGACACAGAACAGAAATGCAGTGAAGTACGGTAACTGTCTCTATAAAGGCGAAGTTCTATGGCCCCCTAATTTTCATAAAACATCCGGATTGTCTTAACAAAACCTTGTATTTACGTTGCAGCTCCTGACGGACCCGTTGTTGCGGAGCAGGAACTCCTTATCCAGGGTCGCGATTTGGGTGTGTTCCGTGGACTCCCCGCTTCGGCATCCACTGACTGGCTGGAGCTCGGCGAGCATCGCACCCCGTCAAGTCCATCGTCCGAAACGTTATTTTAACGTCACTAAGTCCTCAAAACTCTCGACAGAAATGAGAGGGACGGAATGCGTTTCACGGCAGCAAGTACTGTCCCAAGAGATCCGCTTTTCGACGCAAGTCTCGGAGGCCGTGCAAGAACTCTAATCGCGTTAGCCCTTGAGTTAGGTTTAACGCGGCCACTCGCCTAACCAACGCCCCCTATAGAAAGGAGGATGCGTTGGCCTAACGTATCGGGAAGTCGGTATGCGTTCTCTGCATTGTTCTGCGGCACCTCAACAGGTGCATATGCAAGTTTAAGTAGCCAAGTTCGTTTGAGTGTCACTGTACATTGTCGTCCTTCATGAAAGGGAAGACGCCAGCGCGTGGCCTGCTCTCGGCGACGGCTACCTTCATCCCCATCAAGTAAGCGCATCCGCTTTTGGCAGCTGTTATCAGAACGAAGCGGGACACTTATCTATAGCAGCACTCGTCCAACGGCCATGGCTCGTTTTTTGTTTGTTTGTTTGTTAATAGATGATGCGAGAACCCGACGTGCTTTCTGTGATTGTCGGTTCATGGTGCTGTATTCAGCCGCCACAGAGCGCAGGCCACGCGCTCGCGTGTCCCCTTTCATAAAGGACGATAGTGTACATTTCGTCCACCTTCCCTTAACGTTGGGTATGTGCTGACGTGTTCAGTGCGTCCACGCAGTCAAGAGCCCCATGACGTTTAAGCTCACTGCTTTTTCGAGTAACTCAATACATGTGCTCCGCCAATGTGGATATGTCCTCACGGTGGGCAAATCGACACTTTGTCTGTGTGCCTGTACACCAGGGATGAGTTCTATTTACTTTATTTGGGCCTTTGTATATGCAAAATCTCCACCGAAGGCTTTTTGTCATCAGCAGCCTTGTTTCATTTTAAAGGGACACTAGGGGGCAAATAACAATTCATGTCAGAGTAGAAGAGCAATGTTTGAGAACGTCAACTTTGTCGACAGTACCTCTCTATTAATGGAGAAATTAAGGCGCCAGAAGCAGGACATTTTGGAAGGATTTCAATCACGCAGAGAGTCCTGAATATAGTTGTGGCTGCTCAGACATCATTTGTCAAGCGAAAGTTTGCAAATAAAGTTTATTCAGCGCTCATTTGCAGTTTGCCCATTACTCCTAAAAAAATAGAAACCTTCAGCTGTACTTCACTTACAAGGTTATTTACAGGTCACATTACATCATGTGTAAACCAGAAGCACCACAAATGCTAATTAGAGAAGTGATTCAAGCTTGTATTCTTGTGTGGCAGAATTGAGAATGGCTATTAATGAGTCATTCACTTCAGTGCGGTACGTTGCTTCTTCAAAAACATTGCTCGTCGATACCTGCAAAAGAAAAAAAAAGGTCCGTTAAGTAAAGTAATCTGAAGTAAATAGTATTTCAAAAGGTGTTACAGTGTCTACAGATATTGAGAAATTCTTTAGTTCTAGCAAGATTACGGTTTAAACTCATGAAATCGTCCAAAAAGCAAAGTCCCTGGAGCCAACGCCTCGACAAATTCTCTCGTCTAAATAATAGCTCGCCTTCAAACATTGACCCCAGCAACATTTTTGAATTATTTCAATTCTGGAGTTCTGCGCGCGCCCACCGAAGTACACGTATGCTTTTTCGTTGTATTTCGCTAATATTTAGCTGCGCCCCTAGTGGCCCGGGTGACATCTTGTAAGAATGTCTTACAGATGCGTCTAACATTCGGCAAAAAAAAGGAAAACAAGGAGTTTAGAAGATGCAAGCCTACTTATACTTTAGATATAAATGTTCTGCAATGGTGAAGTTGAGGTAAGAGGCAACGAAAGCAAAAATAAATTTCAAAAAGCGATCACGGGGGTCTTTTATTAGTTTTGCACGATGCCGAATCCGTGTTGTCTGTTTAGCCAATGAACAGCAGATCACAAGAAAATGCAATTATCTTTAGAAACGCGACCACGATGGAAATCCTGAAAATGCAACAATATTAATTACTGCCACTTAGAGTGCACACTATCGCTTACCAAAGAAAACCCTATGTTCTCGAACAACCTTCGGCTAACTTCATTGCTTAGTTTTATCTTGGCCGAGAAAGCCGTCACACGAAGTTCTTCAACACCTGCAAATAAGCAACGGAAGCACAATGTGAACCACGCACCAAAACAAAGTTTTTATGCGTTAGGCCAGGATTCTGACGTTGGACAAGGCTCAATTTTTATGACACAGCTCGATTATCATCTTAGTACAACAAAATAGCATAGAGGCTTCCCTCGGTATCGAAATGTGGTAAAAAAAAATAAGGACGCCCGGTGTTTCAAAAAACGCAGCAAAAATTAGCTGTAGGACGTTCACTGATCTAACTTTATGGCTAAATTATAGTAGTGAACTAGAAGAGATGCAGTGGCACGACCAGCGGAGCGCACCCGGTTTCCCGGCGTCCCTTTACGGTCTGGACGGCCGCTAGGGTTGGTGGGGGCGCTGCTGCTCCTTTTGCTGCTGCTCCACACAGGTCCCTGTGGATAGCATTTTTGGATATCAAGGAAGCGTACGATAGCGTGGTTCAAGAGGAATTGTGGGGAATATTGGACACACTAGGCGTGGAACATGTAGTCACTAATTTTTTAAAGGATATCTATAAAGGTAACAAGGTAGTTATAAAGTGGGAAAAACAGGTATCCAAGCCTGCAGAGGTAAAACGGGGGTTAGGCAGGGGTGCCCCCTGTCACCCTTATTATTCATGATGTACCTACAAGGATTAGAGGCCAAATTAGAGGGAAGTGGACTGGGCTTCAGCCTCTCTTTAGTCAAACAAGGAAAACTCATTGATCAGGCACTACCAGCAATAATGTACACAGATGATATAGTGCTAATGGCCAACAACAAGGAAGATTTGCAGAGATTGATGGACATCTGCGGTAATGAGGGAGATAGGTTAGATTTTCAGTAAGGAAAAATCAGCAGTCATGATTTTCAATGACAACAAAGGTAGTGAGCTTAGAATACAGGAGGTCACGCTAGAGAAAACAGATAAATACAAATATCTGCGCGTATGGATAAGCAATGGGACCGAGTACCTGAGGGAACACGAAATATACGTGACGACGAAAGGTAACAGGAATGCAGCAGTGATGAAAAATAGGGCACTGTGGAATTACAATAGGTGTGATGTTGTGAGAGGAATATGGAAAGGGGTCATGGTTTCTGGGCTGACGTTCAGCAATGCGGTCTTGTGCATGAGATCAGAATTTCAAGCAAGATTAGAAATTAAGCAACGTGAAATAGGTAGGCTTGCTTTAGGAGCTCCCGGGAATACACCGAATCAGGGAGTACAAGGTGATATGGGATGGACATCATTTGAGGGCAGGGAAGCTAGCAGCAAGATAAAATTTGAGAAGCGATTGAGAGAAATGGGGGAGGGGCGTTGGGCTAGGAAGGTTTTCAGCTACTTGTACATGAAGAATGTCGATACAAAATGGAGGAAGCGAACCAGGAAGCTGACTGGTAAATACTTAGAAAACAGCAGGTGGCCAAACCAAAAAGAGCTATCGGTTAAGAAGAAAGTGAAAAAAACGGAGACTGACATGTGGAGAATGGGCATGATTAAGAAGTCCGCGCTAGAGATCTATCGAACTTTTAAGCAGGAAATTGCCAAGGAAAGGATCTATGATAATACTCGGGGTAGTTCTCTACTGTTTGAGGCCAGGACGGGAGTACTGCGAACCAAGACATATCGGGCCAAATACGAAGGGGTAGACACAGTATGCAGTGCGTGTGGAGAGGAAGAAGAAACTGCCGAATACTTGATAATGTTCTGTAAAGGGCTTCACCCTATAGTTCAGGATGATGGCGCAGAGTTTTTCAAAGCACTGGGATTTAGGGACAGCGAGGGCAAAATAGACTTTAAGCGGGTAGACTTAACTAGAAGGAGGTTATCTGATTGGTGGCTAAAGTCAAGGCACGAGTGAAAATTAAACCCTTCACTGCGAAGCACGATTCCTCAACTTCATTATTTATAGAAAAAAAAAGATAAATGTAATGGTTAGTTCACTAAGTATTACGGCTAGGTGGCGTTAGCCGCCGCCCGATCTAAAGGGTACAGCCACATCCATCCATCCATCCATACAGGGAGCCTTCATATGCGGGCCGCCTCAACGGAGGTGGCGCGCTCATAAAAGCACTGACTAACAACTGAATTTTATTTCGAAGGAACATACAGGTATATATATGCAGAACTTCCCATACGCATCAGATATCGTGCATCGCATATGCGAATCAGATATCGCACCGTTTAAACAAAATCGGCGAGAAATCAGAGGTGACTGTTCTTCTTTCTGCTCCCGATAAACGGTCGAAGCTGTGCGCGCGAACTCGTCCTGTGAATAAGGTCGAAGGCTGCAATATTAGGGATAGTAACCCAATCGCAGAGTGTGCTAAACGCTTGGTATATGACATACCCCTATACCCTGTAGAGCGGCATACGGGGGACAAACGGGAAAACGTCTCAATGTGCGTCCGCTATAGCAACGTAAAATAAAAATAAAGAAATGTAGAGATATATTTTTTGGCGCAGCATTGTTCCGAGTGTGGCTGCACTCAAATCTTCAGTGACACACTGTAATCACTAAAACGTCACGTGAGAAAAAAAAACAGGTTGATTATTGAAGGTATGACGATTGAAGAAAAGAAAAAGGGCGATTAGCAAGCCTTCTATAACGCTATCCACAAAGGGGCTTATCATTCTTGCGGCAAGCGAACTCGCCTGCACGCTTTTCTTAACTTTGAGTTAATGATTACGCGTTATCATGGTCAAAGGACGCTTTTCGACAGCATGCACTCGCGCATGGGCGATTCTGCACATCAATACACGTTCCTTCGAAATAAAATTCAGTTGTTAGTCAGCGCTTCTCTTTGTGTACTTCTTCTTCGCCCGTGTCAGTGAGCTACTATGGATCATTATGCGCACACGAAGGCTCTCTATTTTCATAGTGCGTTTGGCAACGGTATGGTGCGGATGGCTGCGTCCAACGTGTTCTCTGGTCCAGCGTGCTATCCAGCGTGCTATAGTAACGTTGACCCATTGCGCTTTAGTGCCCTAATTGTCGCGTGGATCATGAGCGCGCGTGCAGCCCGCGGCATGGCAAAGAGGTGGACCGAGTCGCACCAGTGCTTCGCCCCGGGTTGCCACACGGGCTGCCCGAACGGACCAAAAGCGTCGCTGTTCACCGCACCGAAGGACGGCGACCTCCGAAAGAAGTGGCAGCGGAACCTTCCCAGGAAAGATAAATCTTTCAGCATTTCTTCGGCAGTATATGCGAGCACCACTTTGAACCGCACTTCGTTCTGCGCATGTTCCCGTCACAAACGGCAAAGAAGTGCGGAACTTCGCTGCCGTTCATGGCGTGTGCGGATTCCCGAGAAGAATCCACACATCTACGTCGCAAAAAGGGCACAGGTGCAAACTTCGCAAAATCCAGACCCTCAAAAAGTTATTTTACATAACACAAAGTTTGGGTGCCGTTGATTTACCAGCACATTAACTACCAGAAGTGTGTAATTAGTGAGTAATTGCATGTGTAAGATTTGTGTGTGTAGATAGCAGCACCGATATCAAGATCTGCATTATTGCGCGACGAAAATCCGCGGCTAACTGTAGGCTGGCGTGCCATAGTAGTATGAAAAGTTGCAGTGGCGCCATCTCGTGGTATCTATGCGAAAACGTACCGCCTGTGCAAACGTTACTAACCTATAGTCTGGTAACGTTGACCTGTGCATGGCCTCCGAGATGGCAAGCGCGCAGCGAGTTTCTCTCCGGCCGTTCCAATCGCACGGAGAGCGCGTGTCTCCAGAGGTGGGCGCGGCCCGCTCTTTTCTCCGCACTGCGGCGCTCCTTCGTGTGGTCGAAAAGGCTGCCGCGCTGTTGGCGAAGCTTGCATGTGGCGCTTTTATATAACTTGGCGCTCATGTGGGAATGTCGGTCCAAGGTGTACGAGAGGCAAAGTCAATGCTTGGGCGTATACATTCTCAAATGGGCTTTTTTTGTTTACATTCGCGCACCCCCCCCCCCCCCCCATATCAGAGGATTTATAACTGCGATGCCTCTGCAAGAAATCTGGATGTGCTGGAAACTCGTTGTGCTTCGAAGTTTACAGGTTGTACAATATGGAAGGCGCTGGCGAAGAAAAAAAAACAGTCCGATCCACAAGCAAAGTCAGAAGAGTGGCGCGTTCTACGCTCACGAGTTACCCTCGATAAATATGGTTGCTTTCTCTTTCTTTTCATGGAACTAGCGCTGTTTTTCGTTGTTATTAGGAATCCGCCCATCGAGCCGCAGAAGCAGGATCCATGGGGGCGGGTGCAGGCGGTCGCCATGCGCCTAGACTAGCTATATTGAACGCCGCCGGTTCTGCAACGACCACAGGCTGGTTACAGGTACGTTTTGGTCACTTCTGGTCGCTGTTACGCCTGTGAGTCCACACTGAACGTCAATGCATCTGCAAAGGCAATCTGTGTCAGGGCCAGCGCTCGAGCCCGCCTGACGGGATCAACTCAACGACGTCATCAAGCGGCGGCGCCGGTCTGTCACGCAACGCACAGCGAGCTCCCTCAGCCCACGAGCCCGATGAAGCAATCGGCACCTTCCAGTCTGGCGAGTCTTACGCAATGCGTGGCAACGTCACTCGTCCTTGGGTGCAACTACGCGCAGCGGCTCCGGATTTGACGAGCATGACGCGGCCGAGCGGCGGGCCCTATTGGAGTATTTTGACATCACGGCCAGCGGTGCTTCTGGTTGGACGTTGGTGACTCAAAGGATTCACCCGGTGCCTATAAAAAAAGCCCTGCGGCGCGTCACCAGCAGTAGGCCTATGGGTCAGAGAAGCCTCTCGTTGCTTCAAGCCCTTTCGCTGTCGGCGCGGCCGGTGTCCTCGTAAAGGCCGTTTCACAGGACACAAAAAGTAGCGATTTTCAGGCTGTGAATTCAGTCGCAGCGAAAAAAAGGGCAGTTCGCTCCCGCCGCAGTGGTCCGCGGCGAGCTTCCAGCATGTCGGAAATTTTCGATCGCCGCGGCGGGAGCGATTTTTGTCGGGACCTGTCGAAATAGGGCTGGTCCGGCCAAGCCATCGAAATAGAGTCGGCGTGCTTGTTTTGGTAATGGCCGATGCTGTGCATTTTAAAATGAATTCAGACTTGAAAGTGTTCTTAAATGACAAAACAAGCAAGCCCTTAGTTACCGTCCACGGTAACTTCATGATATCATAATGCACATATTATTACACTACATTCGTGTCTGTCACAATGAGAGGTGGCAAGAACTCACCGATCCAGTCGCAGAGCAAAAATCGCGCACCGTTCGCGGTCCATGTGAAACGAAACCACCATTAGCGACGGTTGCGTACAGAGCGATTGGAGCGAACGCAACGATTTTTTTTCGCTGCAATCGCGGCATGTGAAACAGCCTTAAGCGGCGAGCTTCGTGGCGCCCTTCGTAACCTCGTCGGCGGTGCGCTTCGTAACAGCTGTCGGCCCCAGTGCCGAATATGTAACGCCTCTATTTCTATGCTGTACATAAACCTTGCTCTAACTCACCGTCGTCTCGTCCACTCGTCTATCAGCTCTGCGCAGAAGCAGTCGCGAGCTGAGTGACACACGCTACAAAACGACTGGTGACCTTGTCGGCGGAGTTCGGTGCAGTGGCGCCTTCGGAACTGTGTTGGCGCCTCGGCTTCGTAACATCGCCTATTCGCACTGTGACTTTTATGGTGTTCAGTGGATATGTTGGGATCGAAATTTTTGCTTGTGCAAGTACGCAACACGAGTTCAGAGTTTTATGTATCTGGTATGAAACACTGCAGTGTTACATTGCAGGCACAATTTGCACCTGTTTTTATTTAGTAGTGTACCTCGGCGAATACATAGTTTTCATTAGAAAGACGCCATTATGCTAAATGTGCAGCCCTTTAATTTGGATGCAGTCGAGAGTACAGTAAACGAACACGACACTGATATTGCCATTGTGCAACCAAAACATAATAAAAATTCAGATGCGAAAAAGGGGACGATTACAACTCAGACACTTTCCCTGTGAAAGACGTTGGGAGTGAATGTAGGTCGGCTAATCTAAGCCTTCTGCAATATTCCGGCAAAATTACTTCTCATGCACGTACCTTTTTTCAATGAAATGACCAGGGCACTTTTATCTAGAGCGTAACTGCGCTTCGGTTGACCACCTCATAAATATACGTACGCGATATAATAGTAAAATTGCGAGTCAAGATGGAAAAGCAATACGATTCAACGTTAGTAATTAGTCCACATTTCTCACATACACGTTTCTAGAAAGGAGGAATGCTAGAATGCCTCTATATTTATCAAATTGTGGTATTTAGCACCGAGACGCAACGCACCGTAATGAAAAAAAATACTGCCACAGAGGAATTGATACCTCCTTACAATTACTTATCAGAAAAATGCAACAGTTACTATGTTTTTCTTCGTAAATTTGACCAAAATAAATGCAGTAGCAGAAAAAAAACTGTCCTTCAATTCTGTCAGAATATCCTCGTGGCAATTCTTGCTCGAACGCAAAAAAAAAAAAAAAAGTGTGCACGCAAGAATCCCGTGCACTCTGCTGTCTGCCGCGGTCTCCGCCGCCGTCGGAATCCGCGCCATCTCGCGGTAGGCGGGCGCGTGAGGCGATACTTGTTCATTTTGCTGGGGAGCGCGGTGATTGGGACGGCCGGAGGGAAACACACTGCGAGCCTGCTATCTCGGAAGCCATGCCTGTGCGTAGCTGTTCGTGCAACTACGTCTCTTCTAGTTCACTATAGGCTTAATTAACTGTTAGAACATATTTGGCGTTATGCAGAACTCACTCGCGAATAAGTGAAGGTTCTGAGAATTGGCCAAACACGCCCGGGACATGAATATGGCAAAACTGTGGCGAAACTCTACATATTTTTGACAAACAGATATAAAGTTATTTTATACTGGTAACACTTGAATGTGCGAGAGTAACGTCATTAAGCAGCTATTTTTATACTGCCTTGCAGTAAGCTGTTTTTGTACGGTGCATATTTAACGTAAGGCCAAATGCCCCCACAAGATGTAATTTAATACAGACAAGCCGCAGGTTTTGGACGCCAATGCCCGTGGTATACATATTACTTTGTCGATACATATACGAAAATTGCAATGGTTCGCTTCGGGTGCCGCTACTACTCATTCTTTCAGACAATCTCGATTTTTCAAGCAACCAAGTGTCAAGTGTTTTCATTTTTTCTGACGATAGCCCAGCTCTCCCAAAGTTTTCGCGCGATATACAACATCAGTGAGTTTTAACAACTAACAACGCAGTTTAATACAGTGCAATGTTTTCATTACAAAGTGTTCCAGCTTTGGGGCTCTTGGAATGCTTGCTTAAAAATACCCCTTCTTAGTAAAGGTTACCTCACACGACGCACTCGAAAGCGGCGGCAAACCTCGAAAAGTTACCCACCGTATCTCATCATCAGGTGAATCGCCTCTTTGCCGCGGCCTTTCCGACGTTGTGACGACTCTGCGGTCGGAAATGCGCATTAGAATGTTTCACGTGCTTCCATTTCCATAACAACAACGAGATCAACGCACCTGCAATCATAACCTCGATTTCCGCATCCCGTGGTCGGTCATGGTCGTTGAAGAACAAGTTTACGTCGCCGATCATCGCTTCTAAAAAAAAAAAAAAATGACAGCACTGTCAGTACTGCATCGAACTAAGGAGATAGAGCTGGGAGCTTCATACAAACCTACTTCATCCTTGCCCCTTTCGTAAGTTTCCCGATCCAAGATGATGAACGTACATTCTGAAAGGTCAGTAACATCTCCCTCATCAGTTGTTGCGACCTGCAGTTCACGGCTGTTTCCGCCAAGAGAAGGTAAACAACATCGTTATACTCAACTGTCTTCGTCTTCTAGCCACGACTTCTGCATTTCGTACTCTTGTTCCAAAGAGAGGGGTTCCGAAGCCGTCATCTCTTGCAAGTAGGGGTCCTTCATCCAGTCGTGATACCTGCGGCAGTTTCAACAAAGCGCGCGTCGTGAAAAGTTGTCGCCATAAACCTGCCTTTGAATTCGAACACGTACTTTGCGACGTGATGCTCTCGGTAAGGCACAAGGACCACGGTCTGGGACCAAACCTGGGTTGTCGCGTTAATCCGCATGTTTGTTTACGTTTTTCAGCGCGCTTCCGAAACACACGTGTGTTTTGGCACATTGTTTGCAGCCAGAAACAATCTTCGCCTATGACTTTGGAGAAACATTTTAAATACACAACATGGCGTTTATTAACCTTCACAACCAAAACTTGACGCTTGAGAAGTGCAACAAAAGCTTCTTTGCAACTAAATTTTATTCATTTTTGTTTTATAACAGCCTTTGATATTTGTGTAACTAATAAAAAATTATTACTGGAACGCACATTCAGGCAGCACAATATGCGATCGTGTTTTTCCTTGTTTGTTTAGTATAATATAACAATTTTTGGAACCGGAGACGTTGCTATTTATAAAACACTGTGTGAAGCACGCACTGATTGCCTTATGCATAGCGCCCGAGATTTCCAACGCGCAAGTTGTTTACTCTCAGAGGCTACGCTCGAACTGTTTTGTTTTCACTTTCACGTCCCACGTGGTTTCCCGCCAGCTCCGTGTCTTTCATGGCGTACCTTTTGGATGGCTGTATCGCAGTTGACAAGCAACTTCAAAAGCGCTGCACCGCTTGCGCTGCTATTCCGCATTCCGTGTAGACACTCGGTGAGCTCATAAGCGTTAAAGCGCCCCATTAGTGAAATAACACCAGTGCCGCATTCCAGCGGTGTCCTTGTGATGGTGTTGACTCTCGACTCCATCCTCTCTAGGCACTCCAAGGATGACTGCACAGATTCGCGAGGCGCTCCTGAAGCTTCACGCCTCGCAAAGACCGGACGAGGCGCTGACATTAGTCGAAGAAGTCGACCGCACCTGTCAAGATCAAGCCTTCTCCGATAAGGACGAAGGTTCGACTGCCTGTGTCATCGAAAATCGATCGACCGTGAACAGTCGCTGTTTACGCTGACGCTAGGGCTTGATATCTAAAAGAAAGAAAATGAATTAGTAAAGTTATTGAATGGCTGTTTTGTTTGACGCAGGTTACATAACCACCCTGCTTGTCAGCGACGAAAAGAGCCTAGTGGCCTACCTGAAAAAATCCATCGTCTACGAACAGGTGGGTCGATCGATCACTATTAACAACCGATCACATGCACTAGTACGTAAGTTTTATTCATAACAGTGGCACGGCCTATGAAAACGCCACAGTGGGAACTGGGTTACAGGTCACGTATCTCGATACGCTTCACTGAAAAGGTCGGAAACAGACAAAATCGAAGGTATGCAATTCGACATACGTGATATAAGTTGAGATGTATGATAGTACGACAGCAGCACTGCAAGTGGGGAACGAGAAACGAAGCTATTGATGAAATACAACATGTACCGCAAGCAAAGTGGTGTTCTAGTTTGCAGTTTCAGCTAAAGCATCGTGAACGTGCAAACTATCCCCGCATCTCCGAACGAGAAATGACTGGGATAAAACAGTTCTGTTCAGAGTAATGCGAATTTTAGTAAGCATACTAGATGCAGTGTGATTTCTCGTAGACTTGAATACAAATAAAAAAATGGTAAGGCTGCTTGAAAGTTTATGGAGTAACGTTAAACTGCAAGTTCTACACCTCACATTAATGGCTGAAAGTAGATGTGCGTATTAATAACAGGCTGTATTCGGGACACTTATAAATTAAAATTATCACACTTCCCAAAACACACAGCAAGGCAAAGAAAGATTGTTTACTGTTCCAAAAAGCTAGTTTTCCCGCGATGCATGTGGGCATTTTTTAAATGTGCACTGCGAGTCGTGTACACTAACGCTTGTGCACTTTGGAAACCGTCCGTCCTTTTTTGACTTGCTAGCTATACATCAGCTTTGCACGTTCTTGTTGTTTTACCGACATAAAAGAAAGGGCACTCTCTATTTCGCTTACAGTGTAAACGTTTCAGTGAATGGGATGCAGGAAAAAAGACGAGGAACTGAATTTCAATTCTTGTGTAATACTGCCAAGACGAGGTAGTTGGTATAAGTGCATAACTTTTTCTTTGAGCACACTGGCACATGGACAATGAAAAGAAATGACACCAGTGCTGCTATCAACTGAAGGCTTTGTTCAGAAAAGCAGAACACATATGCCGATGCTATCAACTGCTGCCCATGCGCACTATGTTGCAAAGTCCGGGGCTATCGCTTTATATCTGCTGTACTCATTATTCCCTTCAGCAACAACACTTCTTTTTCAGATATGTTGCGATAGCCCAGGACTACGCAACTAAAACGGTGTGCATGGGCGGCGGATGATAGCATTGGCATATATGTTCTGCTTTTCTGAATAAAGCCTTCAGTTGATAGCAGCACTGGTGTCGTTTCTTTTCATTGTCAGTGTGCACTAAAAAAAAGTTGTGCTTTCGATTCTTGTTCCTCGTCCTTCCACCTGCAGTCGTTCTTAGTTTGGGACCCTTGTCTTCAAAATATCTGTAAGCAACTTTTATGTTATGAACTGGCATTAAGAAACTTCAAACTTTACAGCAGCATGAGGCATTCTCAGGCATGCATACTGCCTGCACGCGTAGTTTGTGCGACGGCCGCGGCATTGGTGCAGTACATAAGATGGCTGAATCATATTTTGTCAATCGCACAACTTGTGCTTCAAAACGACCTCACTGCTACTTGTTTCAGCTGAAAGATGCCAAAGCAAAAGGACTACAGCTCCTCACCAGCTGGTTTGAAAAAGTTCCATCGCACCTCTTCAACCATGCGGTCGCTGTCAAGGTTTGTACCATTTCCAGGACTATGTTGAAGTCGCTGCTCGCTTACTTAGATACTCGGACGACTCTCTTGAACACTGGTGTTCTCAATTTGTTTGTGCTTGTCACGTCATTTGATTGCACAAAAAAATTTCAACTGACTCTGAACATTGTATTAATTTAGTTCTCGTTGATACTACACGTGGGTTCATGTGACTGGCTGTGTGCTGTATGTTGCTGCAGATAATCAGTGTTAGCTACACTACATTTGATGGCATTCAATGCCGAAAGTGAAAAAAAAAAACATCTTTTTATTTCTCGTAATGGTGCAGGGGCAACCAATATTGAACTTTTCCATGTAAGGCCTTACCCAAGAAGTCTTTTTTTTTTGGGGGGGGGGTTATATGTAGAAAAGCTAACTTTGGCAACTGGTAGTCGAGGTGAAGGCGTGTAAGGACTCTAGTATCACCCAAAAAGTTAAAGTATGAAAACATTTTGAGCTGTGTCAGAACTCCCTCAGCTCTCCCTTAGTTATGACCCTGTGTCTATGTGCTTCAAGTTTGTGATTCTACTATTTTTAAGAAAAAGCAAGTTATCGTTGAATGCATGTTAGACCTGTGTTTGATTTCACGATAATTATTTTGCTTCACCAAAATGTACACAAATGCTCATACTGTTAGTTAACTTTGTCATTAGTGTATGCTGGTTTGTAATAAATTACTGGCAGTGTGTTCAGCTCATCACTAGTGTGTCATGGTTTGCTCCTGAAGGTGGTGAGTAAAGTGGCAGTCAGAGTTTTTATCGCAATTTGCTGTTCCTTTAGCAGCTCGTGTTTGAATGAATGATACACTACTACAGCAGCATAAACGTAGCGACCTCCTTTTTCTTTTCCCCACTTCGCACAGGACGTCAGTACCCAGCTGGCATTCAGGGACAAGGCAGCCAAGGTGCGCTGTGCTGCTCTGGTCCTGCTATCAAAGGTGAGTCAGCTAATTTGTACCCCTCCTACCCTCAGTTTCACAATCGGGCCTTGTCTCCAAGCTTTTTTCTCTGAAGGGGTTTGAGGGGCAGCATGAGCCCGGGAGTAGAAGGCATGCAAACTGTCCTACAACTCCCGCGTGTGGTGTCATGGAAGAGTTTGCCTGAAAACTCTTCCCTGATGGGTGGGTGCTAGTGATTAAAGTAATTATGGGTAGGTACTGTAGGGAGTTATGTTATTATAGGCAAGTACTGGCAATTGATGTTATGAATGGCGACTAGTGATTTATGTTGGTATGAGGGCGGCGGGGGGTATGAGTGATTTATGTCGTTGTTGGTAGGTATTCATCACATCTTTGAAGGGACTCTAAAGTCAAATAACAATTTACGTGAGAGTGAAAGATGAATGTACGACAACCTCTGTAACGACAATATTATCAACAGCAGTGCCCTACTTACAGGGAAATTAAGAAAATGCACGTTAACACATGCGCTACGATAGGAAATTCTCAATATGATCCCAATGACGTCAGAAGAACCACGTACAAATAATCACTAACAATCGAACTAGCTGCACTAAATGTTTCCTGCATCAACAGATGCTTGTTCATTTCTGTTGGATTCACGGAAAAAAGAACCGCCGGACATTACTACGGGGAATGGCGCGAGTGGCTCTAAAGTTCAATTTTCACCTGGTTAAATTCGACAGGTTGTGCCATCTAGCGGGGCCCAGTTGAACTAAAATATGTCTGCCATCTCGCAGCCAATGGTGGGAAACTGATCAATGGCCGTTATTGCTGCTGTGGCTTCTGTTGCTTTCGGTCTGCTGCTACTAGTGTAGTATAGCCGAGCAACGTAGGTTGTGCTCGGCAATGGTGACGTGAGACGGTGTGGCGGGTAATTTGAAGTGTGCTAACCCGATGCGGACCACTAAAAGGTGATTTTATTTTAAAATAAGGGCTTCCTTAGCACAAAAGTAATGCTACGAGGTTTCTGGACCACTATTTCAACAATCATCATTGACTTAATAGTTGCTTTTAGTGTACCTTTAAAGGTGGGTTCTACCAGGGGTGCTATTCTGTAAGCGTTCTAGCATAGAATGTGGGAGAGGTTGATCAGAAGAACAAGAGGGAGCCGCACGTGATTGGTCAAAGCTTGTCTGACAGTCAAGACTCGACAATAACCATGGAATGTGCATAGATGTGCAGGAGGCCCCATTCTGTTGATAGAGTGGATGTAAAAGGTCTCAGGATGACTTGGATTGGATCGAAGCGTAAGCCTTAGAGCCCGGAGAAATTAGCCTGTTTTGGTGCCTGGCTTGCTCTAATATCATGCCAATAGTTCGGTAAAATCACCACTGAATGACTCGTCCAGTTGCGATGTCACCTAGTGTCCACTCATTACATTAACTCAATGTAATTGCTAAAGTCATCCCACTTTTCTATCTCAAGCTTTCAAAAACCATGCCCGCCAATATTGTTGTTCAGGTGTAATAATTTTGCATTTGTTGATGCAATGAAAGAATTTCTGAATTCTCTCAGCTCTCCTATTGGCTGTTTGCTCCCTCTCGTTCTTCTGTTCCACCCCTTCCCCATTATACGATAGAACCCTTACAACATACCACGCTAGTCTACATTGTTATAGGCGGGCGCTAGCGATTTACATTGTTAGGGCTGGGTCTTAGTGATTTATGTTTTTATGAGTGGATACTGGTGATTTATGTCATGATATGGCAGTGCCGGTCACTTTCTCGAGTGACAACAAAGTGCCTAATTAGCAGAATGCTGAAATAATCTTGGCAAATGTTTTTCATTCCAATCCTAGTGAAATCCACAGTTTCATTCTGGTCCCTGTGTTTTTTTTTTCTCCTTCACATTTATTGGCAGGTCTTGGAATCTTGTCAGGGCTTGGACGTCAGTGAAAAGCTGGATATTCGAGACCTGCTGGATCGATTCTTCATCTTGTTGTCGCAGCCATCAAAGATGACTCCCACAGGTATGCACTTACGATACTGATTAGCCTTGTCACTGCTCCTGGAGGATATCAAATTTTTGCAGATTTATTGTAGAGGGGTCATTCTATAATGTAGCCTATTTATGACTATCATAATGAAACTATGAACACCGTGGCTGAACGCGATGAGACCAAGCTTGTCGAGTAGTAGCAGCAACTAGGGTGTAAGGCAGGGCGACACAATCTTCTTAATGCTATTTACCGCGTGATTACAGGAGGTTTTCAGAAGCCTAGAATGGGAACAGTTAGGGATAAGAGTTAATGGAGAGTACCTTAGTAACCTGCGCTTTGCCGATGACATTGCATTGCTGAGTAACTCAGGGGACGAATTGCAACTCATGATTAAGGAGTTAGACAAAGAGAGCAGAAAGGTGGGTCTTAAAATTAATCTGCAGAAAACGAAATTAATATACAACAACCTCGGAAAAGAGCAGCTCTTCGAGATAGGTAATAGTGCACTTCAAGTTGTAAAAGACTACCTATATTTAGGGCAGGTAATAACCGCAGAGTCGAACCACGAGATTGAAGTAACTAGAAGAATGGGGTGGAGCACATTTGGCAAGCACTCTCAAATAATGACAGGTAGATTGCCACTATCCCTCAAGACGAAGGTATATAACAGCTGTATCTTGCTGGTACTTAGCTGCGGAGCAGAAACCTGGAGACTTACAAAGAGGGTTCAGCTTAAATTGAGGACGACGCAGCGAGCAATGGAAAGAAAAATGGTAGGTGTAACCTTAAAGGGCCACTCACCAGGCCCCATGCCGAATTTCAGTTAGACAGTGGAAGTTGTCGGGTGTCCATTGAGGAACGTTTTGCCGCAAAAATTTTTCGAATCGGTTCATTACGAGCGGAGAAAACAGGTTTTTTGAAGCGGCGCGAAACGAGGGTGAGAGGAGGCGAGCTGGAAATCCTTGCCACTCCTCCGCGTAGCCTTCGCAAAGCAAATCTCTTCCCCCTCTTCCCCACCCTCTCTGGCATCCGACCAAGAGGGGACGTGCACATGACGTGCCCAAACAAGTCTAACCCCCGAGCACGCGAGCGGCGTTGCTTTGTTGAACAACATTATTTTGTGGTCTTCTGCCTATTTTTGCGGGATAGTTTGGAAACGCTGGCTTAGACGCGGTAGAGTAGATGAGCACAATCAGTGCGCGAACGCGTAGCAGCGTTGCACGGTTGTCGTCTGCTTAATGCGCTGACCGCGGGGACACGAACGCATGTTAAACGCTGGCACATTAGCCCTACATCTCGTAGAATTTCACGGGAACAAATGGAAGAAAAACGCTCACAATTTTTGATTGCGTCTCATTATTTATTTCAAGTTTTATTAATTTCTTAAAGCAACAAGTACATAAACTACGCATGTTGTGTTAAATAATTTTAGACATGTCGCGTGGTATACTGTTGACAACGTCGGAGCAGACTCGTCTACGTAGAGGGCCAACATCACTGCATTGCCGTGTGCGTAGGGCCATTCCTACGCCTAGGTCGTGCCCTCATTCTCTACGTGTGTGCCGGCAGAGGGGAGGGGGAGCAGCTTTCATCTTGAAATTTGACCCATTTCCGCGGCACGTAGCGTTGCAATGTTTGACAGACGCGATTGTGAATGCCTCGTCTACGCATTGCGCTTGTCAGCTCAAAATCGTCAAACCTGGTGAGTGGCCATTTAAGAGACAAGAAGAGAGCAGAGTGGATTAGGGTACAAACGGGGGTTAAGGATATCATAGTTGAAATCAAGAAGAGGAATTGGACTGGGGCCGGGCATGTAGCACGTAGACAGGATAACCGCTGGTCATTAATGATAACTAACTGGATTCCCAGTGAAGGCAAGTGGGTTAAGGGGAGACAAAAGGTTAGGTGAGCAGATGAGATTAAAAAGTTTGCGGGCATAAATTGGCAGCAGCAAGCACGGGACCGGGTTAACTGGCGGAACATGGGAGCGGCCTTTGTCCTGCAGTGGACATAGTCAGGCTGCTGCTGATGATGATGATGAAGAACACGGAAAGCATGTGTCCTGCGCCACGAGCAGTGACATTTCTCTTCGTACTGATGGCGCTGGGGTTACAAGACTGTAGTTGAGGTCTCGAGCCACATTGCTCACGCCAAACAACACACAGGCATGCACAAACAGAACAAATCGGTGCTGTGCATGTTTGTTGCTATGATGATGCACATGTGAGGAGGAGGAAATTTACATTCAGTTTCAAGCTCAAATTAATGTACAAATATGAGTCTATACCAGGAGGAGTAGAGCTGTTGCCAGGAATGGAACGGCTGCACCATTGTGTGCCAAACTTGTTTACTTGTGCCACCCTGGCTGAACCTACCCTGTTGCGCCAAACTCGTTTATCAGTGCCGTACTGGGCCGCAGCACGAGAATTAAGCCACAAGTTGCGACAGCCGTGAAATCTCGTGCTGGAAAACGTAGCTGCAACATCTGGTTTTCGGTTTTATCAGAACGGTTAAAGTTGCGGTTTCATAAAGATTGCGATGGCATGAGCAGCAGCTGCGAATTTTGATTCTGAGTCCATGGTCGCGATTGCTGGCGTGCACGCTTTCTCGGCAGAGATCAACATGAATGGCTCGTAAACCATTTTAATGGGCTGCGCTCTTAGCGCGAGAAGAATGTGTGAAAAGGGCATCTCTTCTTGGCGTGGCCATGTTATGTTGCTCCAGCGTTTTGTGGAGTTGCGCGATGTCGGATCCAAGGGGTTGGCTGCAAGCCTTACTTTGTGTCATAGCAATTGGTTGCTGTCACATTCATTGCTTTGCCCTTTCGGTGATAGTTTTTTTTTTAACTTGACAGCAACTATCGTAGAAGAAAAAAAAGAACGCCAGGACTGCGCGGGACGCACAGCACAGTCACAGCGAAAGCAGGAAGAGTGACCTTTCAGAGCCTTTTTGTAAACACTCTTTGGGTAACTGCTACAAGCACGCTTGCAGGGTACCCACAGTGCCATTAATTATGATAATTTCTGGGTAGAAGGCCGGCATTCCCTATGCTATCCTTCATCATTTTTCGGAGAAGCATGGTATCCGCTGAGCACTTGCAAGGAATTTTGTGCCAATTGTTCATACAGTGGCTGACGATTGTGAGGAATTATGCCTGAAGTGGGTATGCACCACGGTTAGTAGGTGACGAAGAACAAGCTTTTGCAATGGGTTCGAGCATTGGACGACCCACTCGTTACGCTATTCGCATTCTGTGACGCCTGGTTGTTGTTTTTTTTTCGCTGTGCTAAAACCCTTTATTACTCATATTAACGCAATTTCTTTCCCGACATCTAGCCTGCTTACGGCAAGTTTGCGAACAAGTCCTAAGAACCGGCATAGCGCAGCGGTAGAATACTGGGCTGGAACACAGCGGACCTGGTTCGAACCCCACTGTGTCCTTGGCGCCTTTTATTTACTGAGTTTTTTTTCTTAATTCATTAGATAGTGGTTACCAGAAACCGGCGGCGGCAGTGCGTCTGAGCCGTCTCATGATGTCGTAACAGCTTTTGCTGTAAAAAGGATGACAGTAATGATGCCATGGGTGTTCAAAAGATGGGGGTGGTGTCCAGTTCCCGGAAGAACCTAGTAAAGATGGGTGCAAGGAACTGCTTATTGAGCGCATGTGCATATTGTCATTCATTTCATTGCTGTGCTCCACTATATGGTTCCTATCGACTCGTCGGGTGAGGCTTGGACGTTCAGGTTTGAAAAATGGGCAGCTGTTCATAGCTTAAATAGTTATTGTCAGCGCAAGAGCAAAGCAATAAATGCAGTAGTGGCAAGTTGGGATGTTGTAAGGCTGTCAATTGACTCTTTTGTGTACAATTGTGCATGGCTGTGCAAAGAGCTCGTGGGAGAGTGCGATCACTTCAGTGAGAGCAACCCTTATGGCCTAGTATCTTCACGATGAGAGGGCAGCACGTAGATGTCTATACAAGCCACCCACAGATAGTTGTTCAGCTGTTGCTCGTGCGAGTGATCTCGGCCGTGCCGTGCCCTTACGAGCAAAATTCACAGTTGCTCCTCGAGGGACGCTTCCTCTCTTCAACCCCCTCAAGTTTTTTCAGGCTCATTCAAGACAGGCGAGGTGTTTCCTCTCTGCTTCGACCGCAGGCCTCCCAATTACAGTGATGTCATAGCATGCGCCCTCCGAGCGTCGGCGCCCCGACGCGGTAGTCTAGTGGTACTCGGCTGCTGACTTGCAGGTCGCGGGATCGAATACTGGCTGCGGCGGCTGCATTTCCGATGGAGGCGGCAATGTTGTAGGCCCGTGTGCTCGGATTTTGGTGCATGTTAAAGAGCCCCAGGTGGTCGAAATTTCCGGAGCCCTCCACCACGGGGTCTCTCATAACCATTTGGTGGTTTTGGGACATTAAACTCCACATATCAATCAATCAATCCGAGCATCGGAGATGGGGCAGCTTGATTCATCACTGCTTCAGCCGTGTTCGTCGCCTCCGCTCGCCCACTTTTACCCAGGTGTAGAACATACGATGTGCAGGTTGATGTTATCAGTTCGGACTTTATAACATGACATGATGGTGACAGCAATAAGCCACCGAGAGGTGTCCACATAATTACTATCAGAATAATAAGGCTATTGCACAATTTAGCTTAGTGGTTGGGAAATTGGACAAATGTTGCTTTACAAGTGCTGTGAAACGAGGCTACATCTGCTCTCAACTCAGACTGCTCCTAATTTACTCGAATAGGCCTGCTACAAGAGACCTTCGCCTGCTTCAAGGACTGCTTCCAAACCTTTGGGCCCTGTTCCACACCTGTATTGTTTTGACCACATGTGGTCTGAAAAGTCTTAACACTGCAAAAAGACGAAAGGAGCAGATTTAGATAGACGAATCGTCATCAACCTATAATTGGTTGTCCTTTTTTTGCATGTAATCTCATTGTCATCACATCCTTCCGGCCAGATAAATGAGCTCTGTCTTGTTGTTGCTCTTTGCAGTGAAGGTTGAAGTGCTGTGTGTCATGGGCGTCATCGCCGAGCATCACCCGGCGGCGGCTAATCCATACAGCGACAAACTCCTTTCTCTATACCTGGGAGAACTGAAGATGTTAAGAGTGAGTGTCTCTGTGGCTGAATGGCTTTGAAATTTCACTGCTAGGGACGAGGACATAAATTCAATTCCTGGCCATAGTGGCCACTTTCGTACGAGGGAAAAAATGCGAGAAAGCCCCTGTGCCTAAATCTGGGTGTTCATTGAAGAGTAGCAGGTGATTGAAATCAGTGTTTGGTTTTGCCTACTATGGCAAGCTTCGTAGTTGTATCATGGTGTAATGAACCCCTGAATTTACTTCTACAGCAATGCTGCACCATTTGACTACAGTGCATGTATGGAAAAGAGTCTCGTTCGTCATACATATTTTGATGACAGACAACTACGCTTGTGAGGCTGTCTGCCAACAGCACTTTCTTCTCGCAGAAATCAGGAGAAGGGAAGGAAAGGACGACTTTAGCCGGTTGCCTTCAAGGCTTGGCTGGCTACCTGCACAGCTTTGGCACTGGCTTTGACACAGGTATGGTGCCACTTTGCCACCACTCATTGATTCATGGGCTAAAGCTCTCAGCAGAGCGCAAACTAGCCAGTGTAACTGCCAACAGCGGAGGACTGACTTCTGCCCATTTTTGTCTGCTTGAACATTATTTTTTATAGTAGCAGCAGTTTGAGTCACCTGTGTCTTTTTGTTGTAAAAACACTTACCACATTATCAGAAGCTGGACCGGCACATATCATTGCAGGTATCTTCACTATGGTGTACCCCCTAGCCCACATCGCTCCGAGATATATACAGTTTTAAAAGTCTGTAATCAAAACTTCTATTGTGCTTTTTCTTCTACTTTTCTTGACTGTTTGCATGTTGGGCTGCAACCACAGCTGACCCAGCCCTCCCATCATACAGGCACCACTTAGCAGCAGATATTTAGGTTCTGTAAACTGAACTTCATAAACTCTGGTGTGTCCTTGTTATGTTTCTTTTTTTCCAGAACCTGATGACTACTTCCTTCTATTCTCATTTGTGAAGAAGGCATTAGTGCCGAGCCCTTCAACGACACGTTACGACGTTCCCAGAGGTGAGGGAGCTTTTCTTTGCCCGTTGAGTCGACGTCCAATCAAATGTGTGCACACCTTGAAGGGGTCGGGAACTACCCTTCGAATCCGGTGAAAGCGAATCCGGCGAAAAGTAGACTCTTTTAAAAACGCTGCCAAATCTCACAGCTGCTCACAGCAAGGAGAGTTTTGAAGCACAGCACAAAGTTGCCATTTTCTTAGGTGTGCTCCTCTTATGCATACGCGTGTGCTCATTCTTTTCGGAGCTGCTGGCTTATGCTATTTGACGTCGAACAATAGGTGGCGTGCTATTGGCCAATGGCCGACAAATAATGAGTGGAGTTCGCATCAGATGCAGTTTTTACCATTAGCAGCACATTCCATAATCTGCCCCCATTACATAGTAGCCACACTAGGGCCTACAAGAATTCCAACATGGCAGAGTGCTTCATCACGCTGACACATGCTGATATCACTTCTTGCCCCTGTGTCATTCTTCATAGTGTAGCTAGCTTCCAGCGCACTTACCAAGACAAGCGAATAGAGGTCGTGCTTAGCATAGAGTTTTTTAAATATACACTAGAGGGAACTCTGGCGCTAGTGTCTGGGGGAGCTGCAACGCACGGCACTTCAGCAAGCATGGGAATGATGGGTGGTACACGGATTTGTCTAATATTCGTACTTCTGGCTCGGTTTGTCGTGTGACCTGAACCTGCTTTGTCCAGAAACGACAGTCGGCAAGTGCTCAGCAGTTGCACTTCACCACCTTATTCTTTTAGGCTTACAATTTCAAATCAGGTCACGAAGTTCAAAACGCCTCATTTTTTCCTTCAAAACAAAACAGAAACACAGCATTAAATGAAGCTACAAGTGCGATTCGCTGCCCGCAAGTGAGAAGACTAGGCAAATTCATGTAGTACTACCCATAATTCCCTTGGCTGCTGAACCATCGCAGTGCCAGAGTCCCCTCTAGTTAATTTTAAGAAACACTATGGTGCTTAGAACGTGTGACACACCCTGTAACTCCATTCGTTCTTGATTGAACTCAGAATCTGCGGTCATTCGATGATTACTTGAAAAAAAAAAACTAGTGTAGCAATTAGTGTAGTCTGAAATCCTGCCTTAAATGCAGCTCCAGTACTGTGAAGCGTGAGGAAGTTCGTAGCATGGGCACTAGGCTCGTGCAAATAGTGGATTTTTAGATTTGAAGTGAATTTCAAGCGAATAAAGATTCTGGTAGAATGATTTCTAATCGCATTCGAATAGTAAATATATTGCATATGTACTATTACAAAGAAAAATGAGCATATTTGTCATGACCTAAATACCTGTGCAACGTATATATTACTTTTTAATTTGAACAAGGGCTGTTTAAATGTCATTCTTCTTGCTTCAAAGGAAGTGAAAACAGTTTTAAATAGTAGCAGGATTTGACTTTTGGTAGAATGCAAGTGATAACTTCGAAAGTATTTTACCCTTTAAAATTTGCTATACCTAGGACATGCAAGTTGGTACACAAGCTTTTAAACTTAAAAAATGAATCAATAAGAATGTAATATCTTCATTTAACATTGAAGCGTAGCTTCGTGCCAGTGCGAATTCCCCCTAAATACGTGTTTTCACAGCTTGCATTCGAATATTCACACAAGCCTAATGGACACCCATCAATTCTCATTTGTAAAGTTTACATTGCTTCATTTATGAAACCGTTGGCATTGTTGGCAGTGGCAGCCTCTGTTCTGCAATGCAGGTAGCAGCCGCATATTTTCAAAGCATTTTTAGTGATTAGGTTAATTAGTATGATTACTTCTTGGTTATTCCTAATAATTATATTATTTCAGACATTGTTTGCTCATTTTAATCTGGTTTTGAGAATTGTTAGCTTTGTTGTAAGCCTATACCGAGTACTTGATCGGGAGAATAATCAATCCACATGTGATTTACGGACAACTAGCCAGGCCCCTAGTGTTACACACCTTAAAGAAGCACGAGAGCGCTTTAACAAACACATCATTAAAGACAGCACTATATTACCTGGCTGAGACAATCGTTGTCAAGTGGTTCCCACTGTAATCTTTCGGTGTCCGTTGTTCTTTGGCCAGCTGCCTTGATCCTGCTGTCCAAGCACGCAGCCCTCTTTGGCCAGCTGCTGTTGGACGAGCACAAGTCTCTGTACAAGCAGATTGGCTACTGGAGTCACCACGGCAACCGGGAAATGAAGGTCTTGGGAGTGGCGGCTCTGGAGTCGTTTCTGCGAGAGGTGACTGTTGGTTCCTCAAAGGTCGCTTGCACTGATGTTGCTTGTCTTTATATTTATTTATTTATTTTTTATTTATACTGCAATCTCAGAATATAGCAGCTGTGAACAAAAAGAACATGGTTTGCTGCAAAAAGCGCTATGATGTGTGCACAAAAAATACATGAAGCGGAAAAGGCAAAAAGTATGTATGCGCATATAGTGAATTACGGGTTAAAAGCAAATACCAAGTGAATGGTAGCTTTTTGGAATGATTAATTTAAATTGAATAGTATATATATCGCAAAATACAAAGAAAATTTTTCATAATTGTTATGACCCAGCCAACCTGCACAATAATTTCTAAAATTGAAACAAAGCAGTTGCAAATAAAATTCGTTTTGGTTCAAGGTGGAGTGAAAGCAGTGTTGAATAGCAGCACGATTTGACTGGTGGCAGCTCACTTTTTTTGATGAGTTGAGTAACCGAGGTAAGAATTATTCGCTCAAACCTCGGCATAATAAACCCAGATATAACAAAAGTATTGGCTATAACGGAGTAAGTGAAGAATTGTCTTGCGGTAGTTGTAGTGTGAGGAGTATACTTTCATGATGAATTTTCAAGTGTAGCGAACCAATTTTTTAAAAATATGCAGCTTCGTTGCAATGAGGTTTGAGGGTATATGTAATGCGCTACTTAAGTTGTATTCTTGCCACTCTGCTGATGCTTGTTTCGGCGTATGGTGATGAGATCGATCCCGGCCACAGCGGTCGCGTTTCAACGGAGGCAAAAAGCTAGAGGTCCATGTTCTGCGTACTATTTGATGTGACTGTTTGTTAAAGTGTACCAAATGATGGAAATTTCCAGAGCCCTCCACTATGGTTTGCCTCATAAGGATGTCATATTTTTGGCTTGCAAAAGCTCTGATATCATTATGCTTTTGTGGATGGGTTCCAAGTTGGCACAGCGTGTCCAACTTATATTTGTTCTCGTGGGCTTCTCACCTGCTTCATTTCTTAGTTTCATGCGGATTTTCTGTTTTCTGACGTTTTTTTACATGGTGCCTCGAACATAGATAATATTGAAAACAGCAACAAATATCGAGTCACCGTGAAGTTAATACCATTTCACGCGCTTGGCTGGCAGCAGTATTGTATACCTGCCTTTCTCAGCAGTGGACCATTTTGCAAACTGTAGTCATGTGCTTGAGATTCGCTACGATATTTATTCGTGGAACCTTTCGAGAACATTGCAACTTTTGAAATAGAAAAATATAGTTAGACCTGGATGTAGTGAATACGGATATGCCAAGTTATCGGTGATAACAATGTAAATGAATTCATGGATACAGTGTTGTGAATATTTGTTTTAAACTAATTTTTGGATGGGATGAAACAGTTTTTGTATCAAATGGGACTTCATTATAATTCCGTTTGATTGTAGTATAGCATCATTGAGATTTGTTGTTTGACAAAGTTCCACGATAAAAGTACGACTTCATTTTATCGTAGCATTTGCTTTTTACCAATTCCTTAGCATTGCCTAAGAATAAAAATAATTTTACGATGTTTAATTTTGGGTGTTTCAGGTTGCAGCTGCTCTTGCTGATGGAGAGGAAAGGAAGGATCATTTGAACATATTTGAAGTAAGGAACATCGTTTGACGTTGTTGAACATTTGAAACTTCACAGTGTTGTTCCTTAAAAAGCCATACAAGTCTTCATTGCAATGCGTTTGATCCTGTACATATTGAATTTGACGAAGATCACGCAATAGTTCAATATATTTACATATAAATAATCTAAAATAGAAAATATGTGAATTCAAGGCCTAAGTGAAAGCATTGCAGGTCTCGAAACAGTTTTCGGAAATAGTCGGAAGGGCTAACAGGACCATTTGCTCGCAGTATACAAAATAACAGAGTGGCGACTTCTTTTTTCAGTTTTGCTGCTCTGTATTTCACATAAGATAGTCCGTAAACTTGTCTTGCTTATTGCACACCGTCAAGCTCATCATGTCATCCGCAACATCACTGGAGCTTTCCAAATAGGCAAAGTCAGCACCATGTGCCACAACACTGGTTATTGACGCTTAATGCCGATGCAAGCTCTGTAACATGATAAAAGATTTTTCAGTGATCTTAGCGGCGATGTTGGCATATTGATAACCACACAAGTCCACTTCTACGGCACCGGCAAAGTCAGCCGTGATTTTGGTGTCGATGCAGTTGGAAAGCCACGAACAGCTACATCGTCGTCTGCATCGATGAAGTCGCTTGCTGTATTCCTGTCCGACATCCCCAATAATTTGATATATCCAAGTTTAATATATCAAGGAACGACTCTGAAAGAAAAAAAGAGAATGGTAGGCCTGTATTGCGGGTATGTTTCTTGTTTATGGTGTTTAGTTGACATGCTGTGAAGGCGCACTATCCCTTATGCTCTTAGTGTACGTCAATTGGTAGACTACCATTGCAGTTGCCTCATCTAATCTTAGTAGCAATCAATTCAATATGGTTGAAAGCTGGGCTAATAAATGAGGGACCATTATACTTTATGTCAAACTTGCAAATATTTAAGTATTCTGTTTAACATTCCGCTGCAGTGTACTTCCCAATGTTATGCACGAAACTGACAGACCTAACATCAACAAACACCTTCACTCCAGCTCTGATGTATCCCGTTCGTTGTTTGCAGTACTTCATCCAGGAGTTCCAGCAGACTCTGAAGTCAGCTACCAACACGTATAACCTTGCAGCAGCCCTGAAAGGATACGGTCTCTTAGCTTTGGTATGTGTTGCCTTTTTACGTGCTTCGCTGCCACGTAGCCTTCGAGTCTTCGATAGCGTAATTATCATAATTTCGGATAGTTTATCATAATTTCGTGCCATGTAGCCTTCGAGTCTTCGATAGCGTAATTATCATAATTTCGGATAGTTTATCATAATTTTGTGAGCAGCTTGTGTTTAGTTGACAGCCCAGACTTCTAAGGCAGGACACGGCTCTTCTCCAGGACAGACCATTTAAATGTAAGAACTTGCAGTACAGAAGTGGCTATGATGTGGTTTTCTCGTACTATCATTTACCCTCCTACTGCACTTCATGTACGCCTGTACTGCTTTTTGTCATGGGTGTCAGCAGGGAGGTGCGAATGGGGCTCTCACCCCCCTTACACCTCGCCAAAACTTGCCCTCACCCAAGCTACACAAGTGCTCTCCTGTCTCCCCCAGCCATGCGACAACATGAGAATATACTGCCAACGACCACACTATTTGCGCAGCATCCCAAGATAAAATACCAATTATAATGCGGCTGCTGGAAAATTCTCACGAAAGTGAGGGAGTGAGCGTCCTTCTCAGCGTAGGTGAGCCAGCCAGGGTGAGAGCAATGACAGCATTATAAAGACTGAGGGGATGCAGAGCAAACTAACGAAAAGTGAGGAGAGAAGAGAAAAAGGATGAGGGCACCAGCACTACAGTGGTGACTGGTGATGGTGCGCGCAGCGTGCCTATGCGAGCTAACCGTGAACATCAGGACTAACATTATGGTTCGTCCGTTTCCGGGAAATGTGCACCCTGTGCATAATGTCGGCGGGTGAACGGCGAGAACTAGGGCTTTGTTGCGCGAGGCAAAGGATGAGGAGGAAGAGTCTGGGTCTGTTGACGCAGCATGAATTAACGGGAAAGATGCTTACTCGGTGGTGGTGGTGGATGGGAAAGGGAGCGTTCAAAATGCTACTTTTATTTATACCAAAGATCCGGGAGTCGCTCAGCAAGTGGCTATTGCCCTAGCACTCATTGATTCGGGCAGAGTTCTTGTCTTTAGTCACCCTTGCTCTGCAACTAAAACCTTCTCAAGGGAAGTTATTAGCGAACGGGCTTACAGACTGCTGCAGGGTAAGGACATCACTCTGCATACCATTACTTGGTTTCCGCCCATATGGGGTCATAAAGGAAGCCCCACATAATCTCAACGAGGTGGTGCGTAGGGAGGCACGAGGATTAGTATGCCGTGCGATCCCTGAGGCGGCTGAATCTCCCGCTCCCGAGTTTAGAGACCAGCTGTTAACATACAACGGTATAACCAAACATTGTTACTTAGAGTGTAGGGAATTCCCCTTGCCACATTCTAGACTTAACAGGCCACAGGCGGTTACATTAAGACTTCTGCATACACGGACGTACCCCAACCCGGTTCATCATGAATAAAATGATTCCGGACTGCGTCTGAATCCGAATCTATTGTAAGTGTGGGGGCTTGCTCGATTTTGAACACATGCTCTGGCGCTGCTCGGCATTGGCCGGTGTGGCTTCTCACGGTGAACAGTGGTGGCAGCAAACGCTGCACAGTGACGTGCTGGCAGACCAACTCAGGGCTGTCCCGAGGGTCCGTGTGGCTGTAGAGGGGCTTGGCCTCTCTGTACCGAGGTGGGAGCAGCCAGCATCAGTCCTGGACTGATCCTCAGGGCCTTAATATAGTTCTTCAGACCATACCATACCAGCACTACGCAGGTGTTAGGTGTGAGGAGTAGAAGTAGTGCCCCGCTTTGCTCCATCTGTTTCTCGTACATGTTGTTTGAAGTGTCACTGAATAACCAATGCGCATGCACGATAAAGTGTGACATCAAGCAGAAGATACACCGAGTCTAATCAAGTCCATGTGGATGCGACATTAGGGAATTACAAGGCCTGCTACTGTCAGCGAGGTAATTTAATAGCTGAAAGTACTGTAGGTCGTTCCATCGAAAGCTGGAATAATTTCCTGGGAAAAAGTCAAATAATGATTTGGCCATGTTTGTGAAGGCAATCGTTTCGGAGTCCAGCTGCTGCCAGTCCTGTGTTGCAGTTACCACGTTGTAGTAACCTTTATTACAGGGTCTTGATCGCCCCTGTGAACGCATGTTTAATTGTCACTCCATTTTTTTCTCTCCCAACATTCGCTGCAGCCGTGCAAACAGTACCTCAAAGAGAGTGATGTCCTCTTCATGCTGAATGACGTTCTCTTGCGGTCGGAGCATGTGTTTCAGAGGTGAGTCACAGGTCTGCCACCCTTCTGCAACCCACGCAATGCAGATTGTTAAAGGGCCCCTAAACCTCCCAAAGGTCAGAATTTAGTTGAGGTGTAGCAGTCGTGCATGATTAAGAAAGAACGCATGGCCGTGAGAATTTTTACAAATCGGGCTGTAATAGAACACAGACACACACGTCTGGGCATTGAAGAGATGCCCTCGCTCGTTTTGCTCTTTCCTGCACCACCCTCTGTTCGTCAGCTTGTCTCCTTTGTCTTGGGTTTTTTTTCTTATGGGGAGAACATGTGCGGGCAGGCTGACAAACGGGTTCTTTCTGCTGCTTACATGACCAGATTCTTCCGGTTAATGTTACGGCCACATCTGTAGATACTGAGAAGCCAGGAGAAGAGTACCGGATTGTTTTTATTTTTGTTTTAGGGCACTGCCATGGCACAGTGCGCTGCCATGTCTGTTGTTGATTGTGATGGCATTCTGAACTCAATGCACACATTTACTTTAAGATGTTAAAAAATTATTGGAAGCGATTTAGAGACCCTTTAAGTATCGTAATTTTTTTTGTAAAAACTAAATTGGGACTTAGCATTTATTTTTCTTATTATTATTATTGTTATAGCGAGCTGTGATAAAATGGTTTTATTTACAAGAGGTGAACGATGGTCGTTCGCGGCAGCGCACTACGATCGTGCCAAGCCTCTTCGTCTTCCTCTCCTTTTCTTCTCTACTTTTTACTAGTCCGTTACATTCCCCCGCAAGCAGACGAAGCCCGTAGAGCGAGTTCTGATGCACAAGGAGGGTAGAAAGGTTTCAGGCCAGCAACATGAGTGAGCTGCGTTCTGCTCGATCGTCGATCATTGGACAAAAGACAAGCTATTACGTAAGTGAGCTGGCTGAGATGCTTCAAAACTACAAATGGGCCTGAATATTGTGACAGAAGCTTTTGACACAATCCACGCTTGTGTTGCGGTGTCCAAAGTAACACCAAGTCACCTTTTTTGAAGAAAACCGGTTCGTGACGATCGTCGTATTGTTCTTTCGAACGGCGTTGAGATGCCAGAGTCTGAAGATGAGCGATTCGACGGGCTTCTTCCGCGAGACACAGGGTGATTGATACAGAGTCGTCATTGTGTAGAATGAAGGGTAATAAAGTGTCTAGAGGGCTTAGTGGCAACCTGGCGTACAACATATAAAATGGGCTGAAGTTTGTTGTTTTATGTTTTGCCGTGTTGTACGCGTATGTGATAAAAGGCAGCGCTGTAGCCCAGTTCTTGTGATTGAAAGAAACGTACATGGCAAGCATGTTGGTCAGCGTTCTGTTTGTCCGTTCAACGAGGCCATTCGTCTGCGGATAATACGGTGTGGAATGACGGGACTGTGTCGTGCACATGCATAGTAATTCTTCAACGGCATCAGCAGTGAACTGGCGGCCACGGTCGCTGATAATAACACGCGGTGGGCCATGGCGAAGGATCACGGAGGGGAGCAAGAAGTCTGCCACGGATGCAGCGGTAGAAGAGGGAATGGCTGTGGTTTCGGCATACCGCGTAAGATGATCTATGCAGACGATTATCCAACGGTTCTTATTGTTAGATAACGGTAATGGACCCGTAATGTCAATTCCTACTTGTTCAAAAGGTGTGCTGGGTGGTGTTAATGGCTGAAGGGGACCTGGTGTAGCGGTGGCCGGGCGCTTGTGACGTTGGCACATCTCACAGCTAGCGATGTAACGCTTCGTTGTTTCGTACATCTTGGGCCAGTAAAAGCGTTCCTGCGTGCGGTTCAGCGTTCGTATGAAGCCGAAATGACTGGATGTTGCATCATCATGCATAACACGTAGAACATTGGAACGAAGGCTCTCGGGGACAACTAGAAGAAAACGTGCTCCAGGCCTGGAGTAGTTAGTTTTATAGAGCAACTTGTCTCGGACCGTGAAGCGACCACTGTGTTGGGAGGCACTTGCGGTGGCAAAAAGAGGATCCAGGTTGAGATCGTTGCGTTGTTCTCTCTGGAAATCAGCCGCGTTGGGGAACGTGCTTGTAACAGCAGCAAGGCAGTCGTCAAAATTCTTAGCATCGCAGTCTGTAGTTGCAAGAGGAATCCGGGAGAGGCAGTCTGCGTCAGCGTGACGACGGCCACTCTTGTACGACACCTTAAAGTCGTATTCCTGAAGTCACAGCACCCAACGTGCGAGGCGACCAGAGGGGTCATGCAAACCGACCAGCCAGCATAACGAATGGTGATTGGTAATTATCTTAAATGGCCTCCCGTAAAGATAACAACGAAACTTCTGTACGGCGAAAACAGCTGCCAGACATTCCTGTTTCGTAACTGTGTAATTATGTTCAGATTTGCTCAGGCAACGGCTGGCATATGCCACGACATGCTCTGCGCCATTGTGATGTTTTACAAGCACCGCTCCTACACCGATGCCACTAGCGTCCGTGTGGACCTCAGTCAGGCAAGATGGATCGAAATGACGCAACAGTGGTGCTGACGTTAGTACAAACTTAAGTTGTGAGAATGCAGTGTCACATTCTGGTGTCCAGTTGAAGGTTGCATCCTGTCGCAAAATGTTTGTCAGCGGGTACACAATCTCCGCAAATCGTGGAACAAAACGACGAAAATATGAGCATAGGCCGACAAATGAGTGAAGTTCTCGTGCAAACTGCGGTGATTTAAAAGAGCTCACTGCTTCTATCTTGCGAGGATCAGGTCTGACGCCATCCTTGTCGACCAAGTGCCCCAGCACGAGAGTTTGGTTCGCCAAAGCGACATTTTCCAGAATTCAGAACCAGCCCAGCTTTTTCGATGCAGTCGAGAACAAGACTGAGACGGTTATGTTCCTCAAACGTACGGCCAAAGATCACAACATCGTCAAGGTAGCACATGCATATCTCCCATTTTAGACCATCTAATACTGTGTTTATAAATCTTTCAAAGGTGGCTGGAGGATTACAAAGGCCAAAAGGCATGACATTAAATTCAAATAAGCCATCCGGAGTTATAAAAGCAGTCTTTTCTTTGTCACCGGGTTCCGTAGGTATTTGCCAATAACCTGACCGCAAATCAAGCGTTAAAAATAGGAAGCGGCATGCAAGCAATCTATGACGTCATCAATCCACAGTAAGGGATATACATCTTTCTTCGTCACAGTGTTTAGAAGCCTGTAATCTACGCAGAATCTCCAGGAACCATCCTTTTTCCTGACAAGAATTACCGTGGCTGCCCACGGGCTGGACGACTCTTGCACGACACCTTTGTTTCAGCATGTCCTTTACTTGTTCGGCGATAACTTTGCGCTCAGAGGATGACAGTCGGTAGTGCTTTTGGCGGATGGAGTCTGCAGAGCCGGTGTCTGTGACGAGCGCGGGACGAGGGTAACTAAAGGGGTGCATCTTTATGTTTGAAGTCGAAAGCAGCAACATGCCGGGAAAGGACCTGCACCAGCGCTTGCCGTTCCATCGTACTTAGAGTCTTGCTGATCATACCGAGCATTAGATCTTCATTATGGCGAATATCACTAGGAGAGGAAGAGATAATGAGGTCCGTAGCTAGTGCTGCTATCGAGCTGCATGAGGCTTCATCGAAGAGAGCTATCTTCATCCCGCGAGGAAGCACAACCAGCATGGCAGAACAGTTCAGCGCCCACAATGTTCCTACTCCTTTTGTCATGCACACAACAGAACAGGGCACAAGTATGTCCTTCTTAGAACAGTTCTTGCTTAGAGGCCCCACTACGAGGTCAACACAAGCATCATCAACCGCTGTGGAAGAGACTCGAATGGGTGGCAGGCACCAAGATGGTGCTATCACTTTATCAATCACACTAAGTGTGTTCCTGAATTCTTCGCGACGATAGTCTTCTTCGGAAAGCGACGGTAGAAACAAATTGTTTAGTGATATTTCCCCACCACCACAGTCGATAGAAGCAACGCATTGCTCTAGAAAATCGATACCAAGAATGACATCGTGCGAACCACAAGACAGAACCAGAAATTCGGATACAAATACTTTTCCAGCCAATGAAACACTGACAACACATACACCAAAAGGATTAAGCCACTCGCCGCCTACACCACGAAAGGTGATTGTATCATCCCATGAAAACATAACTTTGCGACCTAAGCGGTTTCTGAAGGTGAGGCTTATCACAGACACAGTCACCCCAGTGTCAACTAACGCCATCGTCGGTATTCCATCAATGAACACATTCACTTTGTTTTTGAGCTAACAATAGGCAGAGGTATATCTTGAAAAGACCGTCCGGCGACCTCACCTCCATTGGCTGCGGATGCTAGTTTCCCGGCGGCGGAGAAGAAGAACGACGCAGAGGAGACGGCGAGCGACGAGAACGGTTGGATGGTGGTGTCGAACTTTGCTTGGATGCTGGCGAATCACTGCGTCTGGTATCGCGCAAAAAATGGTCCCTTGGAAACAAGTCGGTTGTCCGCAGGTCATATGAAGCACAGGGTCTTGGTGGCAAAACATGGCTGGTGTCCTTCAAGATTGGCGGTGTTGTTGGCGGCGATACCGAGCGATATGCCCAGTGAAACCACAGTTGTAGCACACGGGAGGGTCACTGTTTATACTATATTTATCGGAACGAATCCTGAGCCACTTCTATCGGCGAGGAAGTTCATTATCATGCGAAGAACGAGTTTCTGCCACTCTCTGGAATCCATTGTATTCGTCGTAAGTTGCATCTTGGTATTGGGGTTGGCCGTAGCGGGACGAAGTCCGGCTGACAGTCCTGAGTATAAGAATGCGGCTGTCCTCGTCCTGATCGTGGGTCATAGGCAGGGCCTCTATCGTAGAGACATGGCTGATACTGAGGTGTGGCATCAGAATCCTCACTGCCCTCCGCCACTCGGTGCGAGGAGAATGAAGCAACGTTTTGCTTGAACTCTGGTGGCTGGTAGGCGGGATGAGTGCTTGGGCGGTGTGCCACTTGCGCGTAAGGCTGAGTTGTTCACGTACTATTTGCCGGATTGTTGATGCAAGA